GAGGCAAACTGGCTGCAATATGCAACGTATTTGTATTACACTTACTACAAAGAAACTGTACATTATACAGAATCGTTTCTAGCATCCACTTGTAAGAAAAGGTTCTTTCTATCATATTAGCATATAGTTTAATCATAATAATCAGTTATTTAAAGAATTTAATGTTGAAATTGTAAAAGCTGTGCCAACGAGACCCGGTCTCCCCTACTAAACTATTCTATAATCTACTAAGTTTCAATGAAATTGAGTGACACAAAGGTAAGGTTACTTGTCAGTGAAATAAATAAAATTGCAACAAATTTTTTCTTAATTGATTTACTTTTAAGGAATTTACTTTGTTTTAATTTATTTTTATCTTTTTATTGTTAATTCTTTTTTCGTAATTTCTTCGTATTTACATAGTCTTCTTTTATTTTTATTGTAATTTGAGTTAGTAATTTGAGATAGTATTAATTCAGATTAACAGAATATTATAAAATATGATTTCCATTAAAGTAAAAAATTTAAATCTCGCGCAAGCTCATTTTGCGGATAATTATATATTTAGTCTAATGAATGAATAGTGATATCAATATCATACACACATGCCTATATATATATATATATATATATATATATATATATATATTATATATTTGATCTAATACTTACTTTGATGCATTTTTGATACCTCGAGGTTCGATTCACTGAACCACCAACTATGTTGTGTCATACTGAATGTTCCTATTGTCACTGAAATTTATGCTCAGTCATAAAAAATACGTATCGTGACTAGGAAGTAAAATATATATATAAAAAAACGCATTGTATCTAGAGTTTGTGAAACGGAACGTATGATCACATGTCATGTAACAGAGTCTATCGACTTTCCAATTGGATGCGTATCTCGTTGATGGAGCTACTGTACTAGTGCATCACTATACTGGCTGCACTGCGACATGACGCACGCTGGAACTGTCATTAAATTTATTAATTCCCATGTAATGAACTGCACCGTATATAATGCCCGACAGCGTTAATAATTACATTTGCGATGGAAATTATTGGCTGGTAACGGAAAGTTTCCTCCTAGCTGCGCTTTGTGTTATATGAAGATAATAATTATGGAAATAATTACACAGAGCTGAGCTTTATATGTATATCGATTATCGAATACATTACGAGTGTATACAAAATGTAGCCGGTATGAAATGTCTCTAATAAAAGTATCTAATAGACAAGTATTTTAAAGATACTTACGTTTTTGCAGGTTGTTGATTCTTAGATATGTTGAAGAAATTACTTTAAATTGTTTTCTTTGTAATTTTTATTTTAAATATTGTTTTTTTTAAATAATTATAATTCTTGCTTTAAACAGTTAATTATTTTTTATTCCATTATCTCACTTTAAAATGTATAACAATATTAAATTATACTAAATCAAAAAGAACATCAGACTATTACATTTTCATTGCGTGGACACAAACATATGAAGTACAAATTCTTAATGTTTAGAAAGTAAAAGACATTGCGGTCGGGGCATGTGAAACTTAAGTAACCGGTTCGTATAACAAAGTAGTAAACAAGAAAGCGTGAAAGAGCGTTTTTCTAAAGAAAGGTAATTAGCGTCCGCTAACTCAAATATTAATTAAAATTGTTCTTTAAAATATGACACCAGAAATAATCGAGAATTAAGCAAAATCGTGATTAACGAGTTATTGTGGTAATATCCCAAAGATCCACAATTGTTAAACGAACCGGTGTAAAAATTCATTCAACCAAAAAAGTACGATTAACGTAGGTCACTCGTGCACGATCTGTCATTCCTCTATGAATGTTTTTTTCTTCTTTTATTAAATGCGTACAATGGCAAATAAATTTTTTCGACACAATTCGCAACACTAATTCGGCGAAAATGTACAGATTTCTGAAAAAGGTATATCTATAGAGAATGACAAATAACACTTAATCTACGTCATTTTAATCGTTTTCTCTGTCTGCTTAGCCGCATATACATATATATATTGACAACTATAAAAACATATCTCGTGTATATGCATTATACGTAGTATCCTTGAAATACAACGAGTTTCGGCGTCGTTACAAGCTAATTGAAAGACTGGCACCGAAATATTTTTAGGATCACGTTTCTAATATATAGTATATACAGCAACCACATAGGACCGTTTCTTATACGTGTACGCCGGCATCATTGCTAACGCGAATTATTCGCGATTGGACCAACGCGCTTTGATCATATGGTCCCATTGATAGAAGAAATATTTTGGGCGCTAATAGTGACAAGGTTATCGTCGTTTTTACGTTTTCGTGAATGGTCCTGAAGAAGCGAGGTACATTTCCGACACAACAATACTGCCAAGCTCGCTGCAGAGGCACAATGCCAGTCCTCCTTTACGGTAGAAAATGAAACAATCTCGGAATCGTCCCGGCGCAACGGTGTTCGAATCCCCAAGAGCTAATGCACTTTCGAACAATACGTTTTTAACAGTAACCGTAACGAGAATAAAATCCGCTTCGAAGTCGAGCCATTATAAGTTCGGCGAATAAACCTGCTTTCTTCTTATAGATACATCGCAAGCTTGGGAAAGCTTCGTTATATTTGCATATCTCCATTGCTCTTTCTCTCATGCAAGTTTCCAAGTTTTCGTTTCTATGCGTTTCTCAGACCGTCAGTGCGTCTATCCTTACTTCCGAAGTTAAGCGGATTTTATCGCCTGATGTACAAGATACAAGATTATTCAAATATATATCTTGCGGCATTTTGCCATATAATCCGATACATTTCGTTAAAACATTATATTATTTATTTTTCTCTAATTTTTTTTAGTATAGCACAATTTTTACGTTTTAACTCTTTGAGAGACAGTGAAAAATATACTTCCCATCTTTTTCTTTTTCATTTTTAAAACATATTCATTATAACTTTAATGAAATCAATTATAATTTTACATTTTTCTAATATATTATTACTTTACACGTTTTCCATGGTTAATGTAACCGATTGTTCTTTTCTCATTTATAAAGAAATAAAGTTAAAATAAAGAGTATTTTTTTACATAAAATGTGGTTTCTTGGAAATTATTTAAGATAAGAAAATGAAAATTTTACTGAATATTCTTCATGTGTTAAAATATAATATACACACATGATATTTTATAGAATTTTTTGCTCGATAGATTTAAAAAAATTTTTGGTGCTTTGCGCGAAAATAAAAATTACACTGCGTAACAATTTTTTTGCATTCTTGTCATAAAAGATCGTTCTTTAGTAAATAGAATGCTGTAATTCTTTAGTAAATAAGCTGAATACAAATATGGCCTCAAAATTGTCTCTTGTGTAAGATTTCCAAGAAAGAAGGGGTTAAAACCTTCAAAAATGTCTTTTTAACCATTTTCATAAATTTATAACGCATAAACCAGATGCTCCAGCAACTTCAAAAAAGTCTAACATTGGAGTTTGAACTGTAATCTTTCTGAAAAAGTCAAAAACAGAAAGTGCAATTTCATGGAATTTATATTTATGTCTATATGGCAGCTCTATATAACGGATCTGCCATTTCGAATTTTTGAAATCTGTCTTCAGAGTAGTAATCAGCGACCCAAAAAAACAGAGAAATATGAGATTTCACAGAAATTCGTCAGATAGAAAGAATATCAAGGGGTTAATATTGTTTCAAAGTTTCAGGATCATAAAATTATAATAATTGTTAATACTATTATATATTATATATTACATATTTAAAAATTTATATGGAAATGGAATATATTAGTTAGATTTTATTAGAACAAGTAAAATAAATATAACTAATTCAATTTTCCAATATATTATATTCTTAACATTTATTGTTTACGCGAGTGAGAATTAATCTGTATAGTTCTTAATTTCATTTGTTCATGTTAAAATAATTTATAATTATGCGTCGGTTTTTACATTCAACTTAAAAAGAATTTTATAAAATTTTTAGAACAATACTGATGCCTATTTTCTCTCAAATATTTGCAATTAACAAAAACCCTCCAACTTGTCTTCTGTGTAATAACCGATAATTCGATAATGGGATTACATTGGAATATGTGTATATTCAAAACTGGTCGTAGCCAAAACATTGATAATTGCAGCGAGTGGGGCAAATATTGCGGTCTACCCAGCACAATCAATAATTGAATAACTGCAGTATTGAACACACTATGCTCAAGATTTTTTTTATGAAATGATGAATGATAATTTACTAAAAAATAAGATCCCAATATATCAGTGCGTGTGTGTCTTCTATTTGATGTTTCAAAAAATTTTGCATTTTACCGATACGCAATTTTACGTCGTGTTGCGTTTATCGAATTCTGTAAATCAATCAATTTTCTCGTTTTTTTAAAGTTCTTCATACATTATTCAACAAAATATTTTTAAATTTAATTTCAGACAATATTCAAAGCGATTCTTTCGATTTTTACAATGTATTTTTCGTATTGTCGTTTCTTCTTTTGTAAAAGGAATTTAGAAACAAATATGGAAATTCAGAAATGGATCGATTTTAAGTCATACGTTATGTTAGTATAATATTTACAAGAGATTCTTTCTTTTTGTAGACGATTTTTATTTCGGAAAGTGAGGAAAGATTCCAGACGGCGAAAATGGGGACACGCAACTCTTTGCCGGAACAGAAAAAGAGTTCGTACTTGTTTCCGTAGTAGAGCAAGAACTCAGACACTCTTTTCGCAAAATGACAATGACCTTGAATGTACCGCATAAATTCAGCCAATTTATTCGACTAATCATGTTAAAAAGTTATTATTATAGACAGATTCTCGTTTGTCCATTACGGCAGCAGAATTGGTATTTAAAAAATATCATTGCATAATATAACATTTCCTAATAGAAAATATTTTTAATTCGTATCAAATTTTTTGGCCATTACTAACAATAAGCTATATTTGTGTTCTTTTTTTCAAACCACGTAATCACACAGAACTAAATATGTATTCAATAGTTATTCGTAATTCATCATTTCCTCGGATACATCTAGCCTAATAATATTTATTTTAACTCACGTTTTCCAGGCGACGATGTGACAAATGTGTTTTCCGTAACGCGAATGCATTCCAATCAGTCCGACGACGTAATGGGAGAACACGCGATGTCGCGACGCAAATCTACGATGAGATTCCGTTACTTTCGCGAGGCGAATGTGTCGAATGCGCGTCGCAGCGAGTTGAATCCTCGGAGACAAAACCGCGAAACCGAACCTCCGCTCGATAGTTCCGTGTGAGAGTTAGAGGACCGTGCTTAAGTTTGCGCGCATTCAACCTGGAGCCCGGAGTGCATAACGTCGGCTAGAATATCATCCGAAGAAGTAGAACGACCGGAAGCAGTGTCGCGGCCATTCTGTCGCCTCTACCGTGATGCATTGCCGCTGGGTGTTCTTCTGAAACAAATGCCACGCTATAATGCCGTTTCGCTCAGTCGGCTCTTAGCAGGTGGTATTTAGAACGACGTTTTCGCGGAGCTGAACGCGAGCTCTTACTTTGGGCGAAAAGGCCCCAGTTGACGTTTACAAGCTAAGCATTTTTGTTGAGGCCAGTTTACATCTTTTTCTACAAGCTAAAAAGGTATTTGGCACTTCACGCGGAAAAGACGATTTTGCTGAAATATCTAAGAATTTAGCTAAATCTAAAAACCTGAAAATAATTTTGTAGAACATCAAAATAATTATGTAGGACGGATCAAGCTTATTGCTAGAGTGTTAAAATTTTTTGCAGTATTGTTCATCATGCTTGAGATTCTTATACGTATAATTATGTTGATGATTCAGCAAAATTATTTTCAGATCTGTAAATTTAGTTAAATTTTTATTAAAAAGTTGGTTACATTTTTAGGTAGATATTTCAGGAAAACCATTCTTTCCGTAAAGGATTATCGCCGAAGTGTTTTATTTAAAAAAAGTAACTGGTTGATTTTTTAAACGTTTATAATGTAATTATTAAATTAACTGAATTGTATAATTTCCAAGAGATAAATTTAATTTCATTTAATGTTCCTCTCTTTTGTGTAAAAGGATATGTTTTTATATTACCTCGCAATAAATAGCGAAAATGCGAAAAGTTATTACGATTGTTATTAATTAACTTTTTATATATACATACAAAATATATATACAGCGTATATCTATTTTGTTCAACATTCATTGTATTAGTTCTCTTTTAGTAAATCCGTTTTTTAAAAAAATGTCTCACTCGAATTGAAACGTGTAGATACTTGCACGTAGAGCTCGTTTTAAACAAAATTGGCATTTTTCTTTTACCATTGACTATGTGGACCCGTACGCTGTTAGGATGAGTGTTATTGGGTGAGCACGTGTAAAGGCCGGAGTCTCTGTCGATCGCCTTCTGAATGAGTAAACGGCTCGAAGTTACGGGTCCCTTTTCCGTTACCAGGCTGATGCCACCCCTCGGCGAGTCGAAGTTAATCGCCTGCGGAAAAAGGATATAAAAAGCATGTCAGGTTACTTGCTTCTGACGTGACCAAGTACGGATGGGACCACTCTGCGGAAAAGGAAGAAGCAGGAAGTGTCGACGGAACGTGTTCCCTGCAATGACAGAAATCCTTTTTCCTAGGATTTTTTCTAGACGTTACACATTCATTTCCTGACCTCGCAGTCCGACATAAAATACATATTTTTATCACGCGATCGTAATTATGAAAATATCAAAACCAGGAATTAATATTTATAACAAATAAACAATTATAAAATTAAAAGGCTGTAAAGAGTCAACGCAGTTAACTATGCGAGAATTATTTTAATCTTACAATAAACAAATCGAACCGTTCGATTGATTTGTCTACATGTTTATTGTAAGATTAAAATAATTTTCGCATAGTTAACTGCGTTAACTCTTTACAGCCTTTTAATTTTATGATTGTTTATTTGTTTTGAACGAAAAGAGTCTATAACTAGTATATTTATATTTATTAATATTTTTTTAATATTTATACAATTTCATTTTAGATCTGCATCCTCTTTCTAAATTTTAAATACATTTAAACATTAAACAAACTTCAACTTTCATAATAATTCTTCAAACAATAAAAAGATTCTTATTGCTTACAATAAACAGATCTTATTTAAATTCTATATAAAGACTGAAAACACAATTTTTTTAAGGAATAAATTGTCTTTTTACATCTTTTATTTTCTTTAAAAATTACGTAATGCATCACAACAATGTTATTTTCAAAATTTATTTATAATTTTATTACAACCGCAGGTGTTACATTGTTCAATAATTGGTAATTAAGGATCCAATTGGTTACACAAATTATCATATATGTATATGTTTGTTTTATAAGTTTCATTAGGACAGAATTTATTGCATCTCTAAATTAATCATATTTGATAATATTTAATTAATACTGGCAGAAATTGCGATCATGATTGTTTAATTTATGAATTCGCATACATTTGTTAATAAAAAAAGTTAATAATATAATTTTGGATAAAAGGAACCACACAATATAAAGTTTTGAAATAAATATTAAATAGTCAAATTGAAATAAATGGAGAATCTCATCAATTAATCGGGATTGACTGGAAAAATTCAATGATATATAAATTAAAAACCGGATTTTATTCAATATGCCATATAGTAACAAAAATTATAAACTCAATACTGATGAGAACATGCCGTAATGATCAAATTGGATCTTGAATGCTTCTAATATAATTCCGTGTGAATTTTTTTTTTTATATTAGATTATATTTATATACTAAGTATGTAGATTCTTAAATACGTGCCGCGCATTAAAAATCATAAAAATATGTAATACTATTATATAATATAATATATTTATTTACTTTGTACAAAAAAATTTTCTGTTTTATTAGTAAATTATACTAATCATAATAATTTAAAGTTTTAAAGAAAAATGAATCAAATAGTAAAACAAACTATAATATGTAAATATATATTTTTGAAACAAAAATTTTAAAACATAGATATTATCAATTTCAATGATATTAATTTTTAGTTTTATGAAAATAGTAGTAATTAACAGAATTATGAATTAATTCATAATAATAGTAGTAATTAATTAATTAATTAGAGTAGTAATAATATATAATTTTCTGTTTATTTTATTGTTTTTAATATAATATAGAAGAGATCACTTTTTGTCGATTTTTTTTCTAGAAAATACTGTTTTTATTGTTGACATGGGTTATATCTACAAAATATAAAATTTGAAGTCGTATTTAATGCTAGAATATCACATTTATTCGTCACGACTATTTTCTATATATCTATTGAATTGATATTTAAGATAATTGTCGGAGGTAATAGCAATACAAGCACGCATAATTAATCGATCCAGAACTTAATTGCTTATTCACAGAAGAAGAGAGAGACAGATGTCATATCATCTGTCTGTGACGTGACTAAACGGGACACAAGGCACTTTGTGGGAAGTAGAAGGGGCAAAAGTGTCGACTGTAGGTGTCTTCCTTGAATGGCAGAAAGCATTTCAGGACAAATTTCTCAAAATTATAATTTAAAGCGTCGTTTATGCAACCACCTTGGTTATTCAATTGTACACGCGTTTACATAAATAAACGTGATAGTGAGATTCTTAAACTCGAATGAAACTGACGTAACATTACGAGCATTCATTTACCTATTTATTAATAATATAGCCGTCTTTATACTTGCCGAGAAACTTTTGCAATGTTCCTAAATAAATGAATCGTTTCGTGGTATTGCAAGAGAACCTTTGTTATATTTAATGGAAATTCTTATATTATTGTGCCACAATAAGAATAATTATAAGTGAAAATTAGATGGACAATAAAAAATTAAATAAGAGAACAAATTCTATTTTCAGTTGAAGCCGATTAATATTTATTTACAAAAATGCACTTTTTAAGGGGTATATAAATTGCCGTTGATTTGTCGAAAATGCAATAATAAATAAAAATACTTTCACAAATTATATTGATCGTCAATTAAATAATGATAATAAGCTGCAAAGAACTTGATGCAAAAAATCTCATCTCAGTCATGGTTATTGAACTCTCTTTCCGAGTCAGGCGTTTTATGAACTCAATCATCGAGTCAAATGGAGATATTTGTTGTAATAACCGGGAACTAGTGAGAGGATATTATTTTTCAATCTGTAACATTATGTCATTTTTAATGTTATTTCCAGTTTCAGTTTATAATTGCGTTTCAAATCTGACAAATTAAATTGGCGCGCAGTTTATAGAACTGAAAATTGTACTTGCATAATTTTGCATATGAGTATTATTAAGTACCAATATCCGCTTTGTGACCGAAAATAAAATTCTTTCTCTTATTTGATGAGTACAGTAGTATTATAAAAAGAAATGTCTCAAATATATAACACGAATCTTCTAATTATGATTGTCAGTTCGCTCGAACGGAATCATCTCGTTGAAAAAGCAAGCCGTTGTTGGCGTCTTCCATAAATATTGCACATCTGAAGGAAAGAAAGCACGCTACCAGCGATAATCGATATACCAGACCAATAGAAGCGTGTATATAGCTGCAGGCTTTTTTTAAATAGCCGCGAGGAACATGAAAATGTTTCTGTTTATGCTGGTATCTGCGGTCCGCTCGCAAAACCAGCGTCCGTTATGAAATTCAGATGAGGTTTCAGTTGAAAGCATCTCTCATGACTTCATGGCAGCGTGACAGGCAATTTTCAGCAAGTATAGCAAGATCCTCATTCGTGGATCGTAAGACCAGCTTACCTGATGGTTATGGCTCCAAATTATCGTCGATGGTGGTTCAGGCGCGTGTCTCACGTAGCATGTTAAATTTATCGTGCTATCCTTGTTGATGTACAGATCAGGACCGCCAGCTATTTCTGTCACAGGTTCTGCAATAAGGGAGAAAATCACATGCACAATATTATGCACAATTATTGTGTCGATTGTCCTACTTTTAAAACTCCTTCCATTTATGTTGCCTTATCTATGTCGCGAACATTTTTTTTAATCGCAAACAAAAACGTCTGTGATGGAGATTTATATACTGATATTTTTTCTTTGGTAATTATAACAGAAAGCAACACGATAAAGGTTCCTCTATAATTTTTCGTTGTTATTGAAGATATGAGATTGTTCCGTATTCTTCATATCGTATTTTTCCGAACGACCGTTGAAAGGAAAGCAAAAAGTCCGCAGCCAAAATGAAATGCAATAACCGTACACAAGAGGAGATCGCTTGGCATTATACTTATACATTATTTCGCGGAAAACAGGTTCGCCCGAAGGAAGTACCGACGGAATCAATTCCGGATGACTGAGTTTCCATTCGAGAGATTCGCTTTGTATGCGATTGAGGAGAAATCACCGAGAGAGAGAGAGAGAGAGAGAGAACCACAAATATACGGATTTTTTTTTTTTAAGTGCCCCACACTCGCAATGATGATTTCTTCATCCGTCGCGGCGATATCTCGAGGTGCTAAGAACCCTCTTAATTTTCGTGAGGGTGGATACGACGTGTCCGGAATTTTTGTCTCGCGTGCTCGTAGGAATCAATGACCATGCAGTAAACGTACACAAGGCAAAAGCATGTTTCTTCCCTTTTCTCCCCTTCCCGCCCTCTTCCATTAAATCTTGTTGCTGGAAATACCACCTCGGCGAATCTCCGCGTCCGCGGTACACAGGATCGTTACAGTCCGTCGACCGGGATTCTCCAAGTTTCTCGGATTCCCATTGGTGGATCTCAATTATCTGACAAACCAGTTTCGAGACTTCCACCGTCGTTTGCTGACCGACTTGCGAGCAGCGCGGTCTGCGGCAACACAGAGAGATCTTCATTTCCACGCCAGGAATACCAAAAGCAAGCGCGAGTATCGTAGGGCGGCAACAGCTTATTACTGTTTCATGAGGCTCGAGACCCTTTTGTTGTTCGCATTACCGGCGTTTTATTCCTATTACTGGAGTAATGAATATCTAACCTTTCGATAGATCTAACGATAGAGTGAAATATGAGTGAATTTACGACGGTACTATCGTGAAAAGAATCTTTCTTAATCGTTATTATGGCATGTTATTTCACATAATAACGTTTTGTACTACAGCCATTCCATGGCTTACTAATACTTCATCGCGCACAAATTGTGAGCTTACACGTAGGGCATCGTTAAATAAAATTGTTCGTACAATCGTTATATATATATGCAACGTTATACATTTGCCAGATTGCATAAAAGAAACGTTTTGTTAAGATATTTAAAAATTTAGCTATGGATCTAAAAATAACTTTATTAAACTAATTAAAATAATTATGTAAAATGCTCAAGCTAGTTACTAAAATATAAGAACTTTTTACAGTGCATTACTCATTATATTTGAGCGTCCTACACAATTATTTTGATGTTTCAGCAAAGTTATTTTCAGATCTTTACTTACGTAGTTTAATTTTTAGATATATTTCAGCAAAATTGTGCTTCCTTTCTTTTCATTCGTATTACTTTCGAGAAAAATCTTAATTTTGTAACTTAAAACAAATACTATTGAGCTTTTTTTCGCGCATATTTTCCAAGATAGATCCATTTTAATAGAGACTAACTTATTCACATAAAAAATTCGCTTTGCATTTTTTAATTTAAATGAAAAAAATAATTATACTAAATTTATAGGTTCACCAACGATGATTACGGGGCGTAATTTCTCTTCAGTATATTACTTGTGCAGGGCTTGGTCAGCATATCATTGAAAATTACGGGTTCTCAAAGAGCATGCACTCTCCCCGATTTCACCGCTTGGAAGTCAGAGAGCACAGGCATCGTTAAGATACGATGTTAACGAGAACACGAGGAGTTTGTCGTTAGCCGCAAGTGAGGACGTTTTTGCAACGCTAACGATGTCACACCGAAATTAAGATCTTACAATGTTCCATAGTTCTCAACGTTCAATTATATGTCCGCTACAATCCGTTGACTTTCGTTAGTGGACATAGTCCACTCTAGTCAGCCTTCTACAAGCGAAGGAACTTCATTTCCTTCTCGGACATCCCTGAACGACTTCTCCTCACGAACATTCCACGAAGAGACACGCACGACGTCGTTCGTTTTACGATGTACTGCAAGTATCTCGAGAATTCAACGACGTTCTTTGCCAATGGTAGTTGCTAAGAGGAACGATCAATTACTTCGACAATCGTTCAATTGAAATAACGGACCCGCTGCGTCGGGAATTCGTTTGTCAATCTTCATTCTTTGATGTATTATATATATATATGTATACAAAATGAAATACTAGCAAACCAACAAAACATTTTTATTTATATTTACTTAGTTGTCAATTTACGATCGCAAATAATCGAGATATAAGTATTACAGTTTAAGTACTACAAATGAAACAAATATTTGACAATATTTAATTAGTATATAATATCAAATTATGTTATAACATAATATGTTATATAATAATATCATTTCTCAGTACAATCACCAAATGTTATTTTCAATTTTCTTTGCTAACCAGATGCAAAGAATGTGCAGTCGATTGTCGCGTCTCTCCGGTTTACCGACGCAAATATATTCATAAAGCGTTATGCAAAAGATATATCTTATACTTGACGCCGAGAGTGCTCTTAAGTTTAAGATGAAGACTCTCTAACAGAGTCTGCCCACGAACGATTTTGTTAAAATTTTACGAGAAAGATATACAGGGTGTTTATTAAGTACCCTAAAAGATTTTAAGGGCTGATTCCTCACCTAAATTCAAGACGAAATTTTCATATAATCATGTATCCTAGAAACGGCTTAGTTTCAAAGATTCAAGGAATAAAAAATTTATTTTTTTTAAGAATTTCGAATTATTTTGATAAACCATTTGAGTTATTTTGATGAAACTAAGATTTAAACGAAGTTTTAAGTAGTTTTCAAAAGAAAATAAAATTTGTTCTTCAACCTTGACATCCTATATCTTTGAAACTAAGCCATTTCGGACATATGTTTTCATCTCGAATTTGTGTATGAGGAGGAATTACCCCTTAAAATCTTTTAGCGTATTTAATATACCTTGTATATTCTTCTTTTCTGTATATACAGTCTGGAAAGAATGTCCGGAAAAATTCACCAAATCTATCTTCAAATGTTACTTATTGTAACTATCACTTAATTTAATTAATAAAAATAATCTTTGAACGTTTATAACTTTTCAATAAAGCATTTTCGCATATAAATTTATATGAACTTTCTTCACTTACTCGATCTCATTAACGTTATATAAGTTTGGATTTAACCTTTTTAAACTCTCTGTACTATATCTCACTTTAATTTATACTGTCTCCATTTATAACTTTAATTAATTAAGATTATATTGTGTGTGTGTGTGTGTGAGACAGTTCAGTTAGAATGAAATAGTATATGTATGTACATATGTATAAGTATACTTTTTTTTTGCTGGATTTTGATAAAATTGTTTGTGGCCAAACTTTGTTATAAAATCTCTAATTAAAGATCTTCGAGATACAACTTGACACCCCTTTATTCTTCCTGACAGCGTGAAGTAAAGTATTCTTAAATTTTAGAGGAAGGTGAAAATCGAACCAGCTGTTACGTCTTTAACCGAACCATCGATCCTTTATCTTTGATCGATCACCACCCTGCTGCACCCTTGGATGGAGAGCCAGTAAAATAAATCGAGGGTGGACCGCGTACGTGGCCCGACCGCGACTTCGTCCGCAATTGAATCACCACTTCGCCGTGTTGGCCGCAAAAAAGTCTAACAAGCATGGAAGATAGTAAATCGAAGCTACCTCTACGAAATACGTTCGGGTAGAAGACGCGAACTTTTTCTCCCGAAAGAAAATTGCAGGTCGTTCGATACTACCATCGCCTTTGTATCGTTACCAGATGGCTTGTTACTCTTTGATATTTGTTAAAAAAAGACGCTTGCTGTATGTTCCGTGACTTGGAAATAAACATGCAGCTCGCACATCCTTCAATTCATGCATGATATCATCTCTGTGAAATTGACATCTCATTCTCAAAATTTTGATATAATTAATAGAGCTCTTCCTTTTCTTTAAAGAGTTCTTGAGTTTTGAAAAGAGTTTTGAAATGCAAAAAAAAAAAAAGTAATTTGAAAGGGATGTCAAAACTTCACGTTTTTGCTTAATTTTGTCATTTATTTAGTTTGCTTACACATTAAACTTACGGTTACTTTCAATAAATAAGGCGCGCATATCAATTGCTATATGAACAATATGATCATTCTCGCGCTCATTTCCTTCAATATTAATGTTCTCCACTAGTGTAAAAAGGATCCGTTCAATAAATCACGTCATTGTATCGAAGCGACTGTATATTTCAGGAACGCAGTCGGGGAGGCCTATTTTTCGTAACGCCACTCGAGATCGGTGTCCATACGTTCGTAGTGATCAGGGACATTAACTTGACAGACATACGCAGCTGACGGTATCGGGGATAAGTTAACGACGGGACAAGTCCGGCACGGTTGTGTGCAACCGCTGAATGTATTACTGCTGAGGGCACGAAGAGAGAGAGAGAGAGAGAGAGAGAGAGAGAGTGTAGCAAGTGAGAGAAAGCCTGGTAGCGAACGATCCCAGTAACACGAACTCTATGGGTCCCATACGTTATGTGCTATATCGTCAGGAGCGAGAGTTACCATTGGGTCCGCCCGTCTGTCCGTTCGTGGCCAACACGGGCATTCCTACATCGATAATGATCTTCCATTCGCGCCATTGCCGATAGAAATTAATTGCTTCCAAATGCGTCGATCGATGGAGTCTGTACGAACATCGACCACTGTGTCGGGTACCATCGCGCGTCACGCTGTCTGGGATATAAGTACAGTGTATACCAGTGCGTGTGTGCACGACATGCGTGCATATCCAACG